CTTTTCACACAAGTGGATATTAACGGCTCGTTTCCCGGCTCGACCCGGACCACAGTGGGGTTATCTCAGGGGGGGTTGACTCGGGTCTGTAATTAACCCGGACTACAGGAGGAGGATGCTGACCCGGGTCCACCTGGTTCTGCTGAACTGGTTCTTTATGTGGAGTCAGGGTCAGCGCGTGGACTACGACAGGTGAGATATCAGACCTTTATTTCAAATGTAAAAACTGAACCCTGACCCAACATGCTGACTGGATTATATCGATCCTCAATCACTTTAACAGCTCAAGGTCATGTGACGTACTGTGACGTCATTGACTTTTATATGAAAACAGTTCTTTCCCTTTTGGTTTCTCAATAAACTCTACAAACTTTATTTGAACAGTGACCATACATCCGGGTCTTACAGATCTCTCCTCCACATGTATCACCATCTCTACCTCTACTGTGAATAACAAAAGATTCTCATTAGTTTGATTCTGATTAAAGCTCCATGTATAGATTATGATATGATATTCTTCAGAAGAGGTCACCGTGCAGATCAAAATCAAACGATGTGAGACGAGTTTTGTACGGAAGCCCGAAGCGGCCACGCGTCAGTACAGTTTGTATTTTTCTGTTTTCCTGTGATAACGACATCCCGCCTTGTTTGTACCGTTATCTCTGGATAACTCTCTGATGTTTCTTTAGATCAACGCGTCTCCTCACTGAACTGTAGGATAACAACGAGTTCAGGTCAGCTGACACTTTTTACTCCTTATCGTGCAAAATATGTTCGATAACAAACTTTATGTAAATATGTACACTACGGGCTTCGGTAGATCTGAAACCATGGCAACAAAAACAGAAGTCCATAGACACAGTAATGAGACCTTTTTGTTGTTTAATGAGTAAACTTTCAGATGAAGTCCTTCAGAGATCTCAGACACACAAACGTGTCATGAAAGAGACGAGATGTTTAAAGATGTTCAAAGTGAACGTTGAGCTCAGACGAGGAAACAGAACGTGGACTGTTCCTCACAGCGGAGACACGGTGACAAGCTGGGACAGAAGAAGAAGAAGAATGCAGGACGAAGTGTCGGAAAGCGTGACGGGAAAGAGAAAGTATGTAGAGGGAGGGGAACGACCCCCCCCCTCCTCGCTCCCCCTCCTGTCTGACTGAAATCATTCATGTTGAGACAGGCTCGAGGAAACACAACACGCCGAGGACACACACACACACACACACACACACACACACACACACACACACACACACACACGAGACGTCATGTTGATCTGCAGACTTTTATTTTTGTGTGTTTGTGTTTTACAGCTGGGCCGACCGGGCCGTGTCGTCCAACGGCCTCTGTCGCTACGGCAACAGCGTGGAGTGTTGTTGGGGCTGGAGACAGACGGACTGGGGACGCTGTCAACGTGAGGACACACACCAACACACTCTCAAACTTCTCTATATTATTTTAAAAAACATAGACAGAGAGACGCCTCCGTGTAACTCACTATTCAAAGTGAAACTGAGCCTCACAGGAGACTGGTGAACGGGTTATTGTTACCACGGCAACAGAAAATGTATACTCCTGGACACTGTCTCAGTTGCAATAATACGTTGACAATATTTCAGTCTGAGTTTATAAAGCTTCTTAACTCTGTGTGTGTGTGTGTGTGTGTGTGTGTGTGTGTGTGCAGCTCACTGTCAGCAGGGTTGTAAACACGGTGAGTGTGTGGGACCAGACAGATGCAGATGTCATCCAGGATACACCGGCAAGGCCTGTAACCAAGGTAACTGTGTGTGTGTGTGTGTGTGTGTGTGTGTGTGTGTGTGTGTGTGTGTGTGTGTGTGTGTGTGTGTGTGTGTTAACATCCTCTCCTAGTTTCACACAGATTTGATTTCCCATCATGCACCTGAGAAAGAAAGACAGAGACACATTCCTGTCATAGTTGTTTGGCCTGCAAAGGCAAGTTTCACCTGAAGACCCCCAACACACACACACACACACACACACACACACACACACACACACACACACAACACAAACACACACACACACACACACACAAACACACAAACACACACACACACACACACACACACACAGACACACAGACACACAGACACACCACACACACACAACACACACACACACACACACAACACACACACACATACACATACACACACACACACACACACACAAACACAGACACCATACACACACACACACACACACACACACACACAGACACACAAACACACAAACACACACACACACACACACATACACACACACACACACACACAGACACACAACACACAACACACACACACACACACACACACACACACACAAACACACACACACACAAGCACACACATACACATCACATACACACACACACACACACACATACACACACACACACACTGCTGTTTCCAAACTTAGAACATCAACACACAAGCAAGTATACTCCACCCACCTACACACACACACACACACACACACACACAGAGAGTTATAATCTCCTGATTAGAGGCTACATTATGAGTCATATCCTGACTATAAAACAACATCTGTCTTCAAACACACACTCTTTCCCACACGCACACACACACACACACACACACACACACACACACACACACACACTTAAAATGCCCAACGTGATGAACAGTTCTGGAGGTTAAAGGTTAATCCTACAAGTTGACAAGAAGAGTGAAAACAGAGAAAAAGTTCCTCTCAGGTTAATGTTTGATTCCTACCTCTCACCTGTGTGTGTTGTTGTGTGTGTGTGTGTGTGTGTGTGTGTGTGTGTGTGTGTGTGTGTGTGTGTGTGTGTTTGTGTGTGTGTGTGTTTGTGTCAGATCTGAACGAGTGTGGCGTGACGCCTCGGCCCTGCAAGCATCGCTGCATGAACACACGCGGCAGCTACAAGTGTTACTGTCTGGATGGACACACACTGCAGCCGGACGGCAGCTGCAGGGTGAGTCCACACACACACACACACCACACACACCCACACACACACACACCAACACACACACACA